CTCTGACCAAATGAGAGAGAATGAGATCTTTCATGCAGAAGCCTGGGCTGTTTTTCACTGCTTTCCCAGGCACATTAGCAGGAAACTGGATCAGAAGTGGAGCAGCTGGGACTCGAACTGGCCACCCACATGGAATGCTGGTACTGCCAGCGGTGACTTAATTCACTGTGCCAGAAGCACCAGCCCCAAGATCCAGTTCAATTTGTAACATTAATATGCAAGAAATTTTTCTTAGACATAGAGAAAATTCATGTATTTTACTATTCTGAGTTGTGTGTGGATGTGTTCTTGATTACTTTTCCAAAATTAGACTGATTTTAAAAATGTGTCAATCATTTTATTACAGAACACTAATTGTTCTTAGTGTAAGTTTCACTAATTTTCCTGTAAGTGAAGAAACTTCTCTCTTACGGTTTAGATGAGCTCTTGGTTTCTCAACTAGAGACTAGTATTCCTCAGCATCCCTTGTAGTATATCTGCTAATGCATTTCAATGAAACGTGAGCAGATTTGGAGTGTATAAACTCTATGTTATTTCTTTAAAAGGGAATTATTTGATTTCCACGTTTTCTGCCCTGCTGTGTTCTAAAACTCAGCTGTAGTGTAAGAACAACCTAGGGACTGGCTCTGTGGTGTAGTGGGAAGAGGCAGCACCAACATCCAATATGGGCTTGGGACACTGTATCTACATGAGAGACCTGGTAGAAGCTCCTGGCTCTTGGCTCCATACTGGCCCATCTCTGGGCTTTCTAGAGAGTGAATCAATGTATGGAAAGTCTCTCTCTCTCTCTCTCTCTCTCTCTCTTTCTGTAGCTTTGGCTTCATATACATACATTTTTTTAAAAAAAATGTATTCTGAAACAAACAAAACAACAACAACAAAACAAAGGACAACCTAGCAAGTGGCAGAACAACAAAGTAGATGCTTGAGTTAATAGTGTAGACAAGTTTCTCATCTAAAACTCCCTTTTTACCTGTGGGCTAATTTGTGTGAGAGAAATATGCCTTTGTTTGAGAAAGGAAATTCTCCCTTGTTTGAGCCATCATTTTTTTAAATCTTTTCATTAGAGTAGCTTATATTGCATCCTGAGTATACTTGTGATGGAAGTGATAGAAATTAATCATCACAATGTAACATTCACTTTTTTCTCAATGTGGAAAAATGAGATTAAAATAAATATGACATAGATTTTACATGGTTTTCCTAGTTTTATTTGCTTATACTTTTATTTCTGTTGTTTTAGGGATGCAAATCATCTTATTGTCTGATTCTATTGGTATATTCTGAAATAAAGATTGATTATATTTTATATATTACATCAAATATTTATAAATATATATGCATTAGTTATTAAAATTCCATTGAAAATGCTGACACTTTTTAAAAGGTTTTTTTGAAACAACATTTATTTATATGAAAGAGAATACTCATGTGCATCAGTGCACACAAAAAATGGAGGGAGGGGGAGAGAGAGGATATTCCATACACCATTTCACCTGCTAAATTAAAACAATAACCACAATTAGGCCAGGGCAGGCTAGGAGCCTGGAACTCCATCTGGTGTGCCATGCAGGAAGCAAGGACCCAAGTACTTGAACCACCACTGATACATCCTAGGGTTCACAATAGCAGAAGCTGGATCAGAAACAAAGAAGCCAGTACTTGACACAGGCATTCCAGTTTGGGATGTGGAAGACTACTATACCACAATGCATACCTGTGACCACGACATGTTGTTTCTAATCCATTTTACATTTTTAAAGAATAAATCATATTAACATTTTCTGGTTTTCAAAAAGATTTAATTTTTTATCTGATAGGAACATTTACAGAGAGAGAAGGAGAGACAAAAAGAGATGGCTAGAGCTAGGTAGATCCAAAGCCATAAACCAGGAACTTCTTCCAGCTCTCCCACTTGGGTACAAATGCCAAAGAGCTTGAGTCATCCTTCACTGCTTTCCCAGTCCGTAGTCAGGGAGCTGGATCAGAAGTGGATCAGCTCCCAAACAGGATGGAAGAAGCCCAGAACCCTCCTCACAGGGTCTAATGACACCAGAACAACAGCCAGGAGCCCTGAGCGGTCCTCACAAGCAGAAGAATAGTAAACTTCCTTCTGGACTCAGGAGATGAGCTTCCTCTGGTCCTTACTTAGTCCCAACTTTGGCTCCCCATCCTCTCTTGCAATGACCATCAGGGTCGCTCCGGAGCACCCAAAATTAGATCAGATAGAAAGAAACCAATAAGGAAAGCTTAGAACAGATAAGAAAAAGTCAGCTTGGACTCTCATATACCTCACTAGGTAGGACACAAAGATCAGTTACTCCTCACTAAGTTATTGAAGATTTCTCTGCTCCTCAATCATTAATACATGGCTTGTTATGGGCCTGGTGCGATAGCATAATGACTAAAGCCCTAGACTTGAATGCGCTGGGATTCCCATATGGGTGCCTGATCTAATCCAGGCAGCCCTGCTTCCCATTCAGCTCCCTGCTTGTGGTCAAGGATAGCCAGAATCTGTGGGACCCTGCACCTTTGTGGGAGACCTGGAGGAGGCTCCTGGCTTCGGATTGGTTCAGCTCTAGCCGTTGCAGTCACTTGGGTAGTAAATCATTGGATGGAAGATCTTCCTTTCTGTCTCTTCTTCTCTCTGTATATCTGCCTTTCCAATAAAAATAAATAAATATTTTAAAAAATATATATATGGCTTGTTAAAGATATAAGCCTGTTTGGATTATCCTAAAATTCATGGAGTTCAGTAAAATCTCACTTGAATACTATAAGCTGCTAAATATAAATATGAAAAAAAAAGAGAGACAACTGAATAGTATCCTACAACCATTTTAAGGTTTACAGCAGTTGTTTATGTATAAACTAAAATTGAGATGCCAATTAAGTAGTTACAGAATGTGGTTAAGAACTTGCATTTTCTAACACATTGGTCATTCAGTAGCATGTTAGTTAGCTTCATGATGTTGTAAATTTCTATGTTTCTTCCTGTTGTTGAGTTTGTGTTGTGGCTTTTCAATTGAGAGGATGCTATTCTCTCATCTGTACTTTCAGACCAAAGATGGTCTCCCAATGAAACTGTTGAATTTATCTTGATAATAATATGCTGGACTCCTTGCATGGTCCATGCCCGCAATGATGGAATTATGACTGTTTCTGAGCTGTATTACTGTAATAATATGGAGGAAATCAATGGGGGGGGGAGGGAGGGCTTGGGGAGGGGTTAAGGGGAATCCCAGAGCCTATGGAACTGTATCATGAAATGAAATAATAAAATTTAAAAAAAGAAAGATGAGAACAAACCAGGTGAAAAGAAGAAGAGGAGGAGAAGGAGGAGGAAGGAGGAAGAGGAGGGAGGAGGAGGAAGGAGGAAGAGAAGGAAGGAGGAGGAAGGAGGAGGAGGAGAAGAAGATGATGATGATCAGCCAGGACTAGAGCTGGGACCCATGTGGGATGATAGTGCTGCAGATGGAAGATTCGCTTGCTAAATCCCTATGCTGGCTCCAAAACATTTTCTTTCTGTTTTTCATTATTCAAATATATTTATTATTTACCATTTATTTATCATTTATGGGTATAGGGTTCTTCTTCTCCTCTCCTTCCTCCCTCCCTATTGCCCCCCTCCCACCCTTTTCTCTCACAATTGTCACACTAGTATAGAGTCTTAGAGCAGTTACAAAGTTAACTTTCTGCTATTTAAATGTATCATGTCATGGTAGGTATAGGGAAAGGTAGAAAAATCAATTACGAAACTATACAGGCATATTTACATGAGTATTATATTTGTTCAGAAGTAACGACACATACTGTAATGTAGCTTTACCTCCCAGTATACTTGTCTCAGTTATAGTTTATTCACGATGATATTTGCATATACTTGATTACCTATGTGACAAGTGAAGTAGTTACATCGATGCTGTGAATATTTCTAAGAATTTTAACTTGCACTAGCACATTGCCATTTAGAAAAAAGAGATCAAATTACATGCCCATATAATGATTTACTACTGCCTATATTTAGGTCTATATGATTAATGATGCTGAGCATTTTTGATGAGCTTATTTATAATCTTTGTGCAGGTATTTATATTCAATTCCCAGTCCCAAGTAGTTTGTTGTAGCTTTCTTTATGATTTCTGAACTATATGATCATTCAATCTGCAAGCACAAACCTATCTGGGACAGGCGTGTTTGGTATTTTCTTGTTTTTGCTTCTGAAAATTCAGCAAAACTTTAGTGAACTACATATTCTTTGGCTCACCTCACAGAAGGGCCTCTTGTGCCTGGGAAGCCCTCATGAGAGGAGCCATCAGCTGCTCTGCCCTTTTCCAAGTTCTAAAAAAGCAGCTGCCTGTAGAGTCTATATTTATATAATGACTTAGTAGAAGAGACAGGTGCTTGGGACATTTTTCCTACTTAATCCTGATTTTCAAATAAAAAGCAGCTTTTAAATTTTTTACTTTTTAAAGAAAGTGCAGCTTTTTAACTTTAGTACAGAAGAACAATATAGAGTGATGCTAAACATGAGAAAAATCTATCGGGCTCATTTCATAACTTTTCTCATCTACCACATTTTATTTCGATTTTTTTTCTTTTTAGTTATAAGTAACTATACAAAAGGCAGAGTCACAGAAAGAGAGGGATAGGCCCTGTACCTGCGAGTACATACAAGAACCTGGTCCGAGAACACCTCAGACAAAGTTTCTTTGGAGATTTCCCCAATTGAAATGCTGGACGCAGAACCCTAACCAAGAAAAGAGAGAAGACAGAACAGGTCAATCAACCATCTCAGCTATGATGGACTATCTCAACAGAGAACGGCCCAGGAATAATACTCAAGGGAGAGTGACAGGGCCCAGACTGATGACATCAAAGGGACTCAGAATGAGGCTCCCTGCGCGAGAGGCGGGCCCTCAAGCTCCACCCAGCTCCCCGGAGGCGGGAGGGGCGTGGCCGTTGGGGTGACAGAGACCTGACGTCACTGCCACTCTCAGTCTCCTCTGTCTCGCGTCAGGAGCGGCAGTCCTCGGCCTGTTTCCAGGGACTGCCTAGCCCCGTGGCCCCGAGGCTTGCCGGCCGGGATCCTGAGCAGAGGCGAGCAGGCGGGAGGCCAGCAGGTGAGCGGCCCGAGCGGGATTCCCGGGGCTGGCGTGGGAGAGCGACCCGGCTGCCCACGCCCACCCCAGGCGTCCTGGTGCCCAGGAACGGGGCGAGGGGGCGACCGAGACGCCATGGGGGGCGACCGCGGGGTGGGGGCCGTCTGCGCTTCGGGGGGCGACCGCGGGGTGGGGGCGCCTCGGGGGGCGACCGCGGGGTGGGGGCGTCTGCGCTTCGGGGGGCGACCGCGGGGTGGGGGCGCCTCGGGGGGCGACCGCGGGGTGGGGGCGCCTCGGGGGGCGACCGCGGGGTGGGGGCGTCTGCGCTTCGGGGGCGACCGCGGGGTGGGGGCGTCTGCGCTTCGGGGGGCGACGCGGGGTGGGGGCGCTTCGGGGGGCGACTGCGGGGTGGGGGCGTCTGCGCTTCGGGGGGCGACGCGGGGTGGGGGCCTTCTGTGCCACGGCCCCGCGGATGGACTCCGGCCGCGGGCGGCCTTGGATGGGCTGAGTTGGGCCCCTCTGGAGAGGCGGTCCCGAGGCTGCTGTCCCCGGGGACACCTGCCATCGCCAGCCATAACGACCCGCGCTGCGCGCCTCTCCGCCTCCAGGTCTCCAGGTGGTAGGAGGTTGCGCGGCGCCAAGAGGGCGAGGCACGCGACCCTGGTGGCCGAAGGGGCGAGGCGCGTGGAAGGGGACGGCAGGGAAGGGGCCGGCGGGGCTAGGGAGGCCAGGGACCCAGACACGGGGCCTGGGAGGCCGAGGGACAGAGGTGCGCGACCCAGGTGGCTGAAGGACCGAGGCGCGCGGCCAGGGCGGCCAAGGGGGCGAGGCGCGCGGCCAGGGCGGCGGGGAAGCGGCCCGCAGGGCGGAGTTGAGCAACCCCCTCTCCCATGTCTCGCCATCCGCAGGTCCCAGGTGCTGAGTGTTGCGGCGGCGGCGAGAATCCGGAGGAGGAGGAGACGACAAGGATAGGCCCAGGTCGGTGCGGCACACGGTCGGGGACGAGGAGCGTGCTGAAAGCCCGTCAGGACCCAGACCCCTCCACCGACCCGTGCCTCCCCATCCCGCCGCATTCCCCCCATTTTGCCCTTCCCGTCGTCCTCCATTTTTGCGCCTGCTCAAGCCTGGAGATGGGTCTGCAGGGAAAATGGTGGTCTTTGGGGGAGGGAGGGGCTCCCACCGGGGGGGCTCCCTGGAGGACTCACCAGGCCGCTCAGGTGCCGAGCCCAAGGGTTGCCAGGGGCCTTTGAAAGCCAGGCTTCTGAATCTGTGAAGGTGCATAGTAGGACCCCTGTCCTCGGTGCTGATTCAATGCCTTCTCTGGTTTTCTTTTCTTTTTCTTTTCTTTCTTTTTTTTCTTTTCTTTTCTTTCTATCTTTTTTTTTTTAATTTTTGTTTGTTTTTGTTCTCTAGGAGAAATGGAGTCCAAAAAGGAACAAGCAGTAAAAAATCTCAACGCTGAAAATGCCGACAAGGAAAATGATGCAAAAGATGAAAAGGATCGAGATGCTGATAAAAGGGAGCCCTTGGCTCTCCCTTTTGAAGCTGGCGAGTACCTGGCGCCTAGAGGAAGCCGTAGACGTTTTCTTGCTAGGCAGCCCCATGTGCACTATAGATCAGCCATGGTGCATAGGTTTGGGGGGCAGCAGGCAAGAATGGGAGAAGAAAATGTCGAACGCATTGGGGAGGAGATGAGGCACCTGATGCAGAAGCTGAGGGAAAAGCAGTTGAGTCATAGTCTGCGCGCTGTTAGCACTGACCCCCCTCACCGTGACCATCATGATGAATTCTGCCTTATGCCCTGAAACCTGACGGCGCCCCCTGCTTTGCAAACTTACGTATTTGTGTCAGCACTATGTATTGTAAACCTTTTGAAGTTACATATTTCTTGTGGGTCTTCTCATACCAACTTCTAAGTGAATATTGTGTTTTTGACCCAGTTTGTAAGTTTCTGTCAGCAGGGGAGTTTTTCCTATTGCATGGAAAGATGTGCACTCAATAAAGCAATTTAAAAAGCTATCTGTGTTGTTTTTCAATTCAGTTATATAGGAACGTTCACACTCATGTTCACAGTGTATCTCCTTGTGGTAGAATTATGAGGGATTTTTATTTTTCAAAAAGAAAAAAAAAACCTGAGCACATTAATAAAAGAGTTTGTCCACCTGACATGTGGGTTAAGCTTCTACCTGCCACACTGACATCTCACATGGATGCTAATTGTTGTCCTGGCTGCCCCACATCTGATCCAGCTCCCTGCTAACGACCTTCGGAAATCAGCAGAGGATAGTCCAAATGTTTCTGCTCCTGTAACCATGCAGGAGACCCAGATGAAGCTCCTAGCTCCAGACTCCTGACATTGACCTGGCTGAACTGGGACATTGTGGCCAGTTAGGGAGTGGACCAGTGTGTGGAATATTTCAATCTCTCTGTGTAATTGTTTCAAATAAGATTTAAAAATACATTAAAAAATCAGCCTGGGGGGGGGTGCGATGACTCAATTGGCTAATCCTCTGTGTAGAGGTATCAGCATCCCATATGAGCACCAGTTCATGTCCCAGCTGCTCCACTTCCCATCCAGATCCCTGTTTATGGTCTGGGAAATCAGTGGAGGAGGGCCCGAAGTCTTGAGACCTCTACACACATGGAAGAACTGGAAGGGAGTTCCTGGTTCTACGCTCAGCTCCAGCTGTTTTGCCTGTTTTAGGGGGTGGGGAGAGTTGAATCAGAGGATGAAAAGTCTTTCTCTCTCTGTGAATCTGCCTTTTCAGTAATAAATAAATAAATATCTTTTTTTTAAAAAATCAACCTATAGGAAAGATTTAATTTTTTGAAATATGAAAAGTGTAAACAGCTGTGATAAAATCTTAGTTTAGGCTTACCTCTGGGATCTCATTTAGAAATATTTACAGAGGCCAGTGTCATAGCATTGCAGGCTAAGCCTCAGCATCCCATATTGATGCTGGTTCATATCCCAGATGCTCCACTTCTGATCAGCTCCCTGCTTGTGGCTTGGGAAAGAAGTAGAGATTGACCCAAAGTGTTGGGACCCTGCAACCACATTGGAGACCTGGATGGGGTTCCCGGCATCAGAACAACGTGGGCATTGTGGCCATTCAGGGAGTGAATCGGAAGATGGAAGAGCTCTACTTTTCTTTCTCTTTGTGTAACTTTACCTTTCACATAAAATAAATCTTTTTAAAGAAATAATTCTGTAACATAACAACGAGGCAGGATTTTTTAAAAGAAATATCAGTAAGATAAACGTACACAAGTGTTAGGACTACCCTGTGGACAATAGGAAGTAAGTTGGTAAACTTTCTTCACGGTCTCATTTGAAATGATATATACATGATGTAACCGTCCATATATTCCCTGTAGTTATTAGGGAATGATTTTAAGGCAAGTTCTTCTTTATAACCACAAGGCTAATGAGTTTAGTGGGGAGGAACTTGATTCCTGTGCTCACTCCATCCTCTTCCCTGAATATTACTCTATCTTCCAGGTTTTGCTTTCTATACTGGTACCTGCCACTCAGAAATTAGTACTCCTCAGGGTGAGAAAAATCCTACTGATTTCTCTGAAATTCCCAATGGATTGAATCTTTGTCTAGAAAAGCATGGACAAATTCACTTCCCCTCTTTAGCTTTTTTTTTTTTTAAGTTTACTATGGGAGTTCTTTCGTGATGAGCTTTCTTACATATCCCCTGTGCAGTATCATAATTTCTCAGTAAACCATGTAGTGGATTTTCCTAGCTTTTTTTTTAAAGACTAGTATCTAGACTATTAAAAGTCCAGATTATTGTCTAGGTTAATGAAAAAGGATTATTTAAAAATTTTAAAAGATATTGCTGAAAATATTAAAAACAGATTTAAAGTATTTTTAAAATTTAAAACCAACATGTTCTATTATTTCATAAATTGAATCAAATAATTTAATATAAAATATTAAATATTAACTTATTTTTAAAGATTAGAATATTTATAAGTATGTATAAGAGATTATTGTCCTGATTACTATGGTCCAGATTATTGTCCAAATTAATAAAAAAGAGTATTTACCTTTTAAAAAAAGGTTATTGTCCAGAATATATAAAGGATTTTACAATGAAACAACAAAAACACAAACAACCAAATTCTAAAATGACCAAATAATGGGAATACATACTTCTCCAAATACAATATATAAATATCCATGAAGCGCATGAAAAGATGCTCAGCATCATTACTCATTAATAAAATGTAAATCAAAACTACTTCTCACTCATTAGAATGCTAAATATAAAAAAATAGAAATTAATTTTTTGTAAAGGTATGGTGAAATCAGAACTCTTCTACCTCGCTGGTAAGAATGCAAACTGTCACAGATGCTGTGTTGGAATATGATTTTGTGATTTCTCAAAAGTTTAAACACAGAATTATCACATGATGTAGCAATTCTGATCCTATGTCTATATCCAAGAGAAGTAAACACATACATCTGCATAGAAACTTAAACATGAATGTATGTTGCACCATTATTCACTGCAGTCTAATGGAAAAAACAACTCATATATCCAGTAGCAAGCGAATGGATAAGCAAAATGGGGTATGTGCATTCAATTAAGTATTATTCACTTATAAAAGGAAACCAAACATTGTACATGCTACAATGTGAATGAACCTTGAAAATACAGTAAATGAAACAAGTCAAACACTGGGGCTGGTGCAGTGGTGTAGTGGATTAATCCTCCACCTTCAGTGCCATTATTCCATATGGATGTCAGTTTGCGTCCCAACTGTTCCATGTCTGATCCAGTTCTCTGCTTACAACTTGGGAAATCAGCAGATGATGGCTCAAGTCCTCGGCTCCCTCACATCCATGTGGGAGAGTCAGAAGAGCCTCCTGGCTCCTGGTTTCAGATCAGCTTAGCTCCTGTCATTGCAGCCATCTGAGGAGCAAACTAATGGATGAAAGATCACTCTCTCTCCTTCTCTTCCTAAAATCTAACTTTCAAATAAATAAAAAAAAAAAAAGAAAAGAAAAATACCGTATGGCAAGCCATAAATACAAATTTAAAAAGAAAGAAGCCAGATACAAAGTGTAACATATGTGAGAATGTTGTTTATATGAAATATCAAGAATAAGTAAATCTAAAGACAGAAAGATGATTGTTAGGAATTGAGGTGGAAATGGAATTGTGAATACTGCTTGGTGAGTATGAGGTTTCTTTTGAATTTATTGAGCTCTCTTTGAAGTACAAAACAGCAACAGTTGAACATCTTGAATATACTATATGCTACTAAAACTGCACAACTTCAAATTGTTGTGTTTTATGTTGTGTGAATTTATCCTTAAAACAAGGAACCACTCTTTAACAAAAACAAAAACAGACCTCTACATTCAAAAGAATGTTATTTGGGCCACTGATCCTCATCTTATTTACTACATATCCCATTGGATATCTATGAGCAGTGGACCTTATTCACAGCCAATATACATCCAGTACAATTTATATATCCTATTCAACCCTCCTGCCATTCACACAAACCTACATACAATGTTGCTCATGATTTCAGAGAATCCATAGGGTAATACTCCTGTACCCAAGGAGGAGGCAAGCTACCTTTAACAAGGCTCAGCTGCTGTTTGGCTAGTCCACTTGCCCTCTCATTCTCAAGTAGCTGTTGGTTCTCCTGTTCATCTATTTCCACCTCATAATTCCTGCTTGCTCATTTTTACTAGCCTACTTACGTATTGACAAAGATCAGCTTCCATGAAAGTGTACATACTACACCCCTTTCTCTCTCTCTTTTTTAAAGATTTAGTTATTTTTATTTCAAAGGCAGGCTTACAGAGAGAAGGAGAGACAGAAAGATCTTCCACCTGCTAATTTACTCCCCAAATGGTTGCAATGACCAGAGCTGAGTTGATCCAAAGCCAGGAGCCTCTTCTAGGTCTCCCATACAGATGTGCAGGATCCCAAGAATTTGGGCCATCTTCTACTGCTTTCCCAGGCCACAAGTAGAGAGTGGAGTAACTGGGACATGATCTGGTGCCCATATAGGATGCTAGGTCTTGTAGGTGGAGGATTAGCCTTTTGAACCATGGTGCTGACCTCAAACACTTTTTAAACATATGCAGCCTGACATACCAAGGCAGGTGGCCCAAGGATGTTTATCAGTTGAAAACACCTAGCCTAGGTAAATCATTAACATTTGCATATCAGCATTCCTTAGGAGTGGGCCAAAACCTGGCGGTGGCACTTTGTGTACTGCTAGGATCCTTCTGAGTGCCTGAGAGATGAAGACCACAAAGTTGAGGGACCCAGTAGAGCACACACCTGGACTGAAATGAGAGACAGCAGACAGGGGCAATGGAGACCTCTGCTTGGGCACAAGAAATAAGGCAGAGATCATCCTGGTCTAACAGCTTCCTCTGCTATCAAGCAGGCTTTTTGGAAACCCTCAGCTTCAGGGGTGTAGAGGGATTGTTCTGCCAGTGGAAGGAACATTATCTGTTGTGGGGACTTAACCTTTGGGAATGTCAGGGAGGGGGCAAGAAAGCAGTCAAATGGATTCATTCAGGTTTCTCCCTTAGTTACCTGTACCTACAGGTTTGTGGAGTGAAGAACAGAGCCATGTGACTGAATACAGAGGTTCTGGAATATTGGTGGGGGAGGTGCACTCCATAGATTAGAGAGAATGGGATCGTTTCTGCATCCCTCACACTTGCAGTGGTTTGTGTGAAACAGTTCTTCTCTCTGTCCAAAGCTAAGTTTCTGAAGGAAAATAATCATGGGAAAAATATTCAAAATTGACTTTGTATCAACCATCAGAATCCAGCCAGTCTACTGATCACTCAGCAGTTCTTTGAGAAAATATTAAAACTGTGTTTTTAAAAATAAAATAGACATGACAGAACAATTTATGAAAATTTTAAAAATACATATTTTCGATGTGGCAAATTGGAAAATTAATGTTGTAAACTTGAATTGGGCTCCTTTCTGAGTGGAAAAAAATGTTGGAATCTCATCAGATTTCTTTTCTACCTTACATACTTTCTTGTAAGTGAAAAAGCCTTACTTAATTTTGTGGTAATGTGAATATCCCATGCTGAAGGGAGGAACATAAAATTGAAAAAAAAAATTATTTCAATTGCTCACTTTCCTATTTGACAATCCACTTTGCACTCATATTGTGAAGGTCTGGCCAACGTTAGAATGAACAAAAGTGGCTGAGTGGAAAATTTAGATAGAACTAGTTACACTGGAGAAAAAGAAGGGAAAATATTCCGGAGAGTTCTCAGCGGCTGGTAGTCCTCGGAGAGGCTGCAGCCCCTCCCTGATAATCAAAAATAATAATAATAATAAAATAAATTTTAAAAAAAGAAATACACATGACAGAGATAAGGGGGCTACATGCATCTTCTGCAGTTAGTAAGGGCAAAGTGTGCCATAAGGCTGCACTTAGGGGAATGTCAGGGCGAGGGGACAGAAGAAGGGGATGTTGGGGACTGGCTCCTGACGCACTTTCTGCCGCTGGAGGGGAACTAAGGATCTGAGCCCACTGGTGACGTTCTCCCCACGTGATCAGGAGCCGACATGTGCAAAAGTCCCTCTCCTCCAGGTAGCAGCTCCGTTTCCGCGGAGGAAGGCAGACTTCAAACTGAGGGGCAGCTCGTGCAGTTACCATTGCAGGTTGGTATGAGACCGGGGTCCCTAATGTGGGGATGGTACTGCCAGGGGCTACAGATTCCGGTCCGCTTTCGGAATACCGCCCCTCCCCCCACCTCCAAGCTTCATTCATTTTGGCGCAGAAAATTGTGTGAGCGTTGGAGAAGTGTAAGTACCATCTCTTATTTCCCTGGAGAAGTGTAGGCTTCTGGCAGAATACACACACACACACACACACACACACACACACACACACACACACACAGAGAGCGCGAGCCATCTCTGGGAGGGCTCCAAATCCATTGCCGCCTGCGGACCCCTGGGGTCGGAGTGACAGAAGGCAAAGATCAGAGTGAGTGCGTGATTGGATTCTCTCCTTTCCCTGAAGGGAACTTCTATGGTGCAGTAAATGGAGGGTGGGGGAGGAGGATGGGGTGGGGGAGGACTCCAGCCGGGTCACAGGTTTAGAATGGGCACTAACAAGATCCCCTACTAAAGGAGCAATCAGACAACAATTTGATTGGGTGGGGGAGGTGAAAGGGACCAAAAGGAAATGGCTTGATTCTTCTCAAGGCAGTGGAAACTAAAACCATCACCCCAGAATATGAAGGATGGACCCTGCAAAGGGATCAGGCCTAGGTTTTCTATGTGTCTTCTCTCCTTTCTGTCCATTTACAGCTGGAAATGGTGGGCTTGGCTGGAGCAGGTGGGTCAGAGCGAGCGCCAGGTACTGCAGGAAAAGAGTGGAGAGAGAGAGAGAGGAGGAGGAGGAGGAGGAGGAAGGCTGAGTGAACATAGCATGGACAAAAATGTTTAGAATTTGGAAATAATTTCTATCTTGCGTTACAGAAGAATGTCGGCTTTCTGTGATGTGGAAAGAGAGGGGGTGGCAGGAGTGTTCAGGGCATTTCTGTCCTACCTATCATGAGCAGTTTCAAGGCAGTGGTGAATTTTGTGTTGGTTGTTCCTGGGAGGGGGATCGGAAACACAAAGACCTGAGAGCCACGGGATCTTCTTTTTGAACACCACTGTTCCAAAATCCACTCAAATTAATGCATGGGGAGGTGAGATGGGAATTCCTGTGGGGGGGGGGGAGTAATTTAGAAACATACTAGAAATGCTCTTTCTTTGATAGAAAAAAGCTATAAAAGGAAAATCAGAGAAAGCAAAGGAATAGACAATGGAGTGGCAGGAGTTGACAAAGTTTTCATAAATGGAATCTGAGAAGAGTCAGTGTCCCAGCTACCAGTTACTCACTTTCTCAATCCCTCTTCCCCCACTTGTCTCTGTCTCTGTGCAGGCCTTCAGTTCTGTGGTTGGGGACAGCAGCCCAGACCAGAAAAGCCAGCATTTCCAGTATCAGTGCCGGCCAGTGGGAGAAGGTAACTGCTGCAGGACCCTGGGGGAAAAAGAATGTTCAAACTAGAGCAGAAGTTGGGAGGTCATTCCTGGAGATCTCCCCTCCAATCATCCCTATTGCTGGTTCAGGATAAATGGCCACTATCAGGACCCTGAGGGAATCACATTTTTGGGGCTTGGGAGGAGAGATGAGAGAGGAGACAAAGAGAGAGAGATGTGGTGTCTGTGGTGACCCTTGGGGATGTGAGTAGCCTTGACATGTAAAAATCTGCCGTGATATTCTTCTGGCTAGAGTTTTATAAGTCTTCTGGTTGAGGGCTAAAGAGAAAAGAAAATCACCCAGGATTCCTGCAAAGGATGCCCAGTTAAACTTGATTCAGCCAACATCAGAGCCAAGTTAGGGACCTGTAGGTTCATAGATAATTCTCAGCATATCCCCTCCCCTTTAATGCAAGGGCAGGTGCCTGTGCAAGTTTCTCATGTGGATAGGTGTGAAAGGAGTGTAAAAAAAGTAATGTGCAGCTAGAAGATGGGATAGGGTGGCAGAATCCTAAATCAGCAACAAGTATTAGAGGTATCTGTTTCATCTCTTTAAGCCCTTAGTATCCTGTCTTCTGTCTCCTAGGGCAGGCAAAGGAGGGATAAACTCAGTATGGAAAAATTCTACAAAGAAAAGGAAGGAAAGCCAGAAAACAAAGAAAACCTAGAAAATGAGGAAATTTTGGAAGACGAAGAAAGTACCGAAGATGAAGGAAATGCAGAGGAGGAAAAGCTGAAAATGGGGAAGGGCAAGGGGAAGAGCGAGGGACAGCTAGGGGACCAGGGCGCGCCGGGCGCTGAGAGCCGAGCAGTCAAGGAGGGCCAGCCTGAGAAGCAGGGTCGGGCGTCCGGGGCGGGCCAGCCCCCTACCCAGGGCCAGCCCGCAGCCCCCGCGGCGCCGCCCGAGAGCGAGCGGCGCGCCGCTGAGAAGCGCCCGGCCGAAGACTACGTGCCCCGCAAAGCCAAACGGAAAACGGACCGGGGCACGGACGACTCCCCCAGGGAGTGCCAGGAGGACTTCCAGGACCGGCATGCCAGCAGCGAGGAGATGCTGAGCGAGTGCGCCGACGTGTCCAGGGCGCAGGAGGAGCTGCGGAAAAAGCAGAAAATGGGCGGTTTCCACTGGATGCCAACAGAGATTCAAGACCCGTTCGCTCCACGGGGCCAGCGGGGCCAGCGAGGCTTGCGGGGCGTGCGGGGAGGAGGAAGGGGCCAGAAAGATTTCGAAGATGTTCCCTATGTTTAATGCTTTTGCCTTGAATTCTGATTTATGTAATGTGTGAGTCTTGCCGGCCCTGCTTTCCCTGGGCGGCGTTTGCCAGGGCTCTTGCTTTAACCTTACACGCTGATACTTGTCTTTAGGTGTCACTGTTGTGAACCACCACACTTTTGACTCAACTACAGTGCTCTTTTGGTAGAGGATTCCCACTCATGAGCATGGAGGAAATGTTTATGGCACATTGTAACACCATAATAAAAAAAAAAAGTTTTCGAAACCTCAAATACAACCTCAGCTTCTTTTTGAAATAAAAAAAAACAGCAATACTTTGTTAATACATTCATGTATAGGGAAAACTAAGCAACGGAGTAGACTCAAGACCAGTGGCTTCTCTGTGTGGTAGGACTGAAAAGGGTTATTGTTTTTCTCTCATTTTTATGTTTTCCCTAAAACAAAGGGTACTTTCATCATTAAGGAAATAATAGGAGAGAAACAAAATAAGAAAGCAATATAAAGCTTACCTTCCACAAGTAGGAAGCAGATCACTGGGCTAGCTCCTACCCTTGTCCCAGAGCTAGCAATACTGGCTCAAACACTTGAGGGATGGTTGAGGGAGATTTCACATGTGCCCAAGAAATCCGGGAAGCTGAGCTAAAGTTCACTTTCCAATATAGGGGCACTGCCATATCGGCTGGGCATTGTATTCCCTCTTTGGGTCCTATACCTTTCTATTTCCTCAAGCTGTTTTGGTGGGGCAGAGTCCTCAAGGTAATAAGGTCCCTTTCCTTTTCCTGGAGTCCATGATAAATTTAGTTCTTACTATTTTGCCTGCTGGATTATGAAGACTGTCCCACTTCTTGCTTTTTTTTTAAGTTATGGTAACTCTTATATGAAATGTGGAAAAGCGTTTTACAAATCTTACATATTTGTCAAACATTCTAATTGCCTCAACTTACTGGTTTTAAAGGAAAAGATTTGTCTTACTCATTTTGGTATCCCACAGGATGTAATAGATGACTTAAAAATACATACATTGATTGTTGAGTCACAAGGCCTCAGTTCTAGGCCCAGTCCTATGACTGAATACATAGCCTTGAGCATGGGATTTTATTCCTTAGCATAAGAAACTTATCACTTAAAAAAGAACACAGAAGAAATTATACCACAATTCATCGGTAAATGATTCTACCATTGGATATACTAGTGCTTGTCAAAATTTGCTACCTTCTAGCAAATCACCTATATCAACATCACCTATCTTGGTGAAAATGAAAAAGCCAGACTCCAGTCTCAGACCCAGTGTATCACAGTGACTTATTTCTACAATGTGCACACACACATGTGTATGTGTGCTTGTCATTTTGCTTAGCTAATTTTTAAAAATTAAATTTTTTATTGGAAAGGCAGATCAGATTTACAGATAGAAGGGAGACAGAAAGATGTATCTTTTAAATTTTTACGTATTTTATTTTGTTATTATTATTATTTCATGACATAGTTCATAGGCTCTGGGATTTTCCATCCCCCACTCCAAGTCCTTACCCCTACCTATTGATTTGCCCTCTAGTATTACAATGGGTCATCCTTTATGAACAGTCACGAATCCTTCATTCTGCTGTTGAGGTGTTTTCCAACATGGACAATGTCATAAAGCCCAGCATCCTACTGTCAGGATTTATTCAATAATTTCACTGGGAGTCCATCTTTAGTCTGGATGCAGAGAGGCATACTGCCCTATGTCTCCACATCTGGATATGTCAGTACTTGCTACACTTCTATTATACATCACTTTAAAGACAGAGCCAGAAAATACAGTCCACAACAGGGAGAAAAAGAGTAAACTTTCACCAACTTGAAGTTAGCGAGCATCATACAAAAATACCAATATGTCGCCAGAGTATTAAAAAAACAATCAAGAGCCTTCATGTAGAAATTGATGCTACTGCATGACCCATGTGGTGCTAAGATGTAACAAAAACAGTGTTGAAAGTGACAATTAGAATCTCAGGTGTTTACAGTCAAACTGTCTCTAGTGGATGATCAATTAATGAATCACAAAAAGTTATTGAAAAAGATACAAATAACTAGGAAGTGTAAAAAGGTAAAGTTTATAACAAAAATAATTAGATTTGACACCACAAAACTTGTAAATTCAAACAAGAAAGGGCCATTTTATAAGAAGATGAGCAACACAACCCCCAGACATGTTAGCATTGAGTATTATCATTTAAAACAAGAGATGAAAGAGAAATGACTCCAACCTTTTGCTCTTATTATATGGGTCATGATATTATTGGCAGGGTCAGTAGTAAGGATTGTAATTTTTGTTGTCTAGGTATACCTAGAAACTACATTAGGAGTCTATCTTAATTTCTTAGTAGAAATATCTTCCGTTTATTTTCCTTGGTTCTTGCAGTCTGATCTCCATTATATTCTTTGTTTGTGTGTTTGTTTGCCTGGATTTTTTTTTGGAGGGGGGAGTTGCATTTTTGGATGGAAATTATCTTATATTAGAACAAACATATAATATTTGTCCTTTAGGAATTGGCTCATTTTCCACAGCATACTAGTCTCCAATTGGGCCAGTTTGGTTGCAAATGACAGAATTTCATTCTTTTTAATAACTGATTAGTATTCCATAGAGTAGATGAACCAGTTTCATCATCCAATCCTCTGTCAGTGGGCATTTAGGTTGTTTCTATGATTTTGCAATTGTTGATTGTGCTTCAATGAATATGGGGGTACAAGTTATTTTCTCATGTATCAGGTCCTATGGATACAGTCCCAGGAGTAGAATTGCTGGGTCATAGAATAGGTGAATATTCAGTTACCTGATATTCTCCATAACAACTTCCATAGTGGCTGTACCAGCCTGCAATCCCATTAGCATTGGAGTAGGGATCCTTTTTTTCCCCACATCTTCGCCAGCAGGTGTTGTTGGTACTTTTCTGTATGTGAGGCATTCTCACTGAAGTTACGTGGAACCTCAATCTTATTTTTATTTGAATTTCCCCTAATGCTAGGGAGCTTGAGTATTTTTTTTATATGTTTGTTAGACATTTGGATTTGTTCCTTTCAAAAGCAGCTTCTCACTTCTGCACATTTCTGGACTGGTTTGTTAGTTTTATTGTTATAGTTATTCTGGAGTTCTCTGTTGTGTTCATTTTCATATCTAGTAGCTCTTGTGAGTTCTTCCAGTACTACATTAAATAGCAGTAGCGATAATGGACACCCTGGCCTAGTTTCAGACCTTTGTGGGAAAGCTTCCCATCTTTCCTCATTCAGTATGATGCTTGCATTGGAGTTTTCACAAATTGCTTTGATTATATTGTGGAGTATCCCTTCTATGTCTATCTTGCTTACTGCTTTTAGCATGAAGGAGTGTTGAATTTTATCAAATGCTTTCTCTGCATACATTGAGATTATCCTATCATTTTTGTTCTTCAGTTTCTTGATGTGGTGTATCATATTTATGGATGTGCGTATGTTAAAACATCCCTGCATAAACAGACAAAAAATCCAATCTGGTCTGGGTGAATGATCTCTCTGATGTATTGTATTCTGTTGGCTAGTATTTTGTTGAAGATTTTAACATTGATATTCATCTGGGATATCGGTCTATAGCTTCCTTTCTATGTTGTGTCTCTGTCTCGTTTTGGTATTAAGCTGATGTTGACCTCATAGAGTTTGGAAGGATTGTCTCCCTTTCTATTGTTTCAAATAGTTTATGAAGAGTTGGGGCTCAGAAATCTTGGAACGATTGTAGAATTCAGCAGTGAAGCCGTCTGTGCGTAGACTTTTCTTTGTTGGGAGGGATTTAATTACTGATTTGATCTCTGTTTATATTATAGGTTTATTTAGATTTTCTGCTGCTTCATGACTCAGTTTAGGTACATGGTATGTGTCTAGAAATCTCTATCCATTTCTTGAAAGTCTTCTGATGTGTTGGCGTATAGTTGCTTGTAGTAGTTTCTGATTATTTTCTACATGGCTGAGATATCTGTTGTTATGTTCCCTTTTTTTTCATCATTGATACTATTAATTCTTGTCTTGTCCCATTTTTCTTCTGTCAGTTGGGCAAGTGGGGTGTCTATACTGTTTACTTTCTTTAAGAAACACCACTTTGATTCATTGATTGTGTATTGTTTTTTGACCTTTATTTGGGTTATTTCTTCTCTTATTTTGATTTTTTTTTCTGTTGATCTTGTATTATTTTGCTGTTGTGTTTCTACCTACTTCAGGTGTATACTTAGTTCACTTACATGGTGTCTTGTTTCTTAATGCAGGCACCATCTGTGATTAGGTTACCTCAACATGGCTTTGGCAGTGTACCACAGGTTTTGGTATGCTTTGTTTGAGTTTTCATTTGCTTCAAGGAATTTTTAGATTTCTTCTTTAATTTCTTCTCTGACCCATTGTTTGTTCAGTAGCATGTTGTTAGCTTCCAAGAGTTTACAAATTTCCTGGGATATTTTGACTTACCCATCTCTAGTTTCACTCCTTGGTGGTTTAAGAAGATGCATGGGATGATTTCCAATTTGTTTAAGTTGATGGGGCTTCTTCTGTGACCTATCATGTGGTTGATCCTGGAGAATGCTCCATATACAGCTAAAAAGATGTGTATTCAGTTTCAGTAGGATGGGAAGGTTCTGTATATATTTATTAAATCCATTTGTTTTATTGTTTGTGTGAGATCTGTTGCTTCTTTCCTGAGTTTTTGCATCTTTGATCTGTCTGTTGATGTTAATGGGGTCTTGAGATCCTGCACTATTACTTTATTGGTGCCTATCTCTCCCCTTAGGTTCATCAATAATTGTTTCATATAGTTCGATGCTCTTGTATTTGGTGTGTATACATTTATTGTTATTTTTTTCTTCATAGATGGCTCCCTTAGTCATCACATAATGTCCCTCTCCATCTCATTTAATGTTTTCACAGTGAAGTCTATATCTCCTGATAGTAGAATGGCTACACTGGCTCTTTTTTCTATTTCACTGGCATGAAATGTTCTTTTTCATCCTTTCACTATCAGCTTTCTTTTATCTTTGTTGTTTAGATGTGTGTCTTGTAGGCAGAGGTAGATGGGTGCTGCTGCTCTTTGAGCTATTCTGTTAATCTATGTCTTTTGATTGATAATTTAAAACATTTGTGTTCAGAATTAATATTGATAGATTGCCAATTACTTTTGTTTTGTTGGTGGTGGTGGTGTGAGTGTGTGTGTGTGTGTGTTGGGGTCTCTGTTTAACTTTGTTTTTTTTTTTTTCTG